AGGTATCAAATATTAAAATAAATTAAGATAATAATTTCTTTGCTTTTCTTAGAGATGGGATATGCCAATAAAGCAGAAGTAATGGATCAGTTGATCAAATCGATGGTAGTGATTAATGCGACCAGGTTAATAAGCCAATATGCAGTTAATAGATGCAAATGATCTATCATCATAAGTGCTTCAGATAAAAACGTCATTTTCTCTTAGAGACCATGAGAAAAATATTATTATGACATTTGAGTCGAGACGGGGTTATTATGTTTAATATACAGAGGTGATGGTTTGTAAGATTTCAATGGTTTATAATGGTAAGCTGAAAATCAATTGTATTCATTTGAATGGTTGAAAATATTGTTCAGAGTATTTTTAAATCATTGTTACCTGAAGAAAAGTGTTCAATACTTTCATACTTTCGGTTGCCATAAATTTCAAAATACAGATAAATGACTAATAATACCTAGGATGAAGAAACATCATCCTAGATAATACAAACAGTCACGTTCTTAAATTATATTTTAAACTTTATTTGATAACATTACTTTCACCCGTGTAATCTTCAAATAAGTATTGGCTTATTACAACGATTAACTACATAAACGAAACAGGCGCTTCTGACGATTACGTTTACGCAAATGATTATGGATTACAATTTATTAGGACTACAATTGTAAAATACGACAAATGATAAAAAGTGAAATTCGAGATTTAAAACGGGTGATGTTTGGACATGTCTTTCCTGTTCTGTCAATCGGCTGCTTTTGCAAGCAGTCGTCCTAAATGGTATTAGGTGTTAACATATTGGGTGGTCTGTATCCACCATTAACTTCTATTAAAAACAATAACTTAAGCTTTAAGTCAAATTACACGCATCCCGTGAGGAATACTATATCGGCAGTGGATGCGGGTAAGAGTGATACGCAAACAAACTCAATCAAAGTCTGTTAAAAATCATCGAAACGCGGCTATCTGATATACCATTAGAAAAACATTTGGACAATTTGTTTATTTGTACAGCAACGGAATGACAAAGCATTTTAATGCTATTGAGTCTATAGTATGATTTTTATTGTTCTCTAATGCAACATGTAAAAAAGCTTTTAAATACTATTCAAATTACAAAAGAATGGACAAAAAATGATTGCGCCATTATTTTTAATTGCAAGATATTATATGTCAGATTCACACATATTACAAAGAAACAGCTTAATTTCTATATTGATGTTGATATCCTGTTACAATTCTTCGGCAACATGATTTTAATGCAGTCCATCTTGTTTTGTGATGTTCCCGGATTTTTCTTTGATTTTTACAAGCTCATCAAAGACGTTTACATATGTAACATCAGTAAAGCATAGCGGGAACTTAGTCCGTGTACATTCCCGACCGGCATCACACTTGATACATAGGATCTAGGAACATGGTGGGCGATTTTAACTATGAGCAACAGAATGGTTAACATATTGAAAAAAACTTACTAAAATTTACATCCATGCATCCTTTCTGCACCAATATACTTAACTCTAATATATTATTTATCATTATATGAAAAGAATAAAAAGGTCGATGCAGTTTTTTCAGCATGTGTACATTTAGCGTTCGGCATTCTATCTCCTAGGCAACTGAACAGTGTTTCTCTAACCAACATCCCTCCTCATAGCGTTACAAGTATGACAACATTCACTTATTGCCTCAGCACTTTTATCTCCGAGCATACCGCCGTTCACAAGTGCGTCTCTGACAGCTTTTGAAATATGTGTATCAAAAAGCAACTAGAAAATTTACTTTATTATGCTCTAGTCGTTTATTGTAAGCTTGTACTCATCGATAATGAAGTCAAACAATAAAAGACTAACAACTCTATTGCTGATAAAAATGAAAGTGGTGAATGTTAACATGGTTTTATATCTTTGATGTTGTAGTGTAGGTTTCTAATGGCCGCGCGGTGTCAATATTATAGTTTCATCATCTCGTCAAAAATATACATTTACTTTCCACAATTGAACATTTGACTTGACTTTTTTTAATAAAGAGCATTTCTTTCTGGGGTTCTAATCAGTGTTGTTATGGATACTGTTATTAATAACTTAATTCAATAGAATTTTGATAAGAAGTTGGTAGTCTGAAGGCTAATTACTCACACGAACTCGTCATCACTGGGAGAGGTCAACTTGTCAGCTCCATCGATGGTGATACAACTTTGATTGATGAACTCAAAAAGATAACATTTGACATGTTGCAACCTTTTTGATATATTGATATACTGGTTGAGTTGGTATTGTATGGCAAAGATCCCACGGAAGTCTCAGAATTATGATTGCTATTTATATTTATCGTACGGAAGACGTGAGTGAGTGGCGTGGAGTGGGTGTAAGTGTTTACCGTCAGTGCGTTCTACCCCACTCCCCATGTTCCTATTTACCATGTACTGCCGTAAAGTCTGGACCAACATACTTTGTTACACAACCAGTAACATTTCAGTTTGCAGATACGCTTAGACCAATATTTTCTGAGCCGAAATTGAGTTTAAACAATGCATGTTGGTCAATGTTCAAACGGTTTAGGGAACACGTAGTTAATAATACTTTGGCAAGCAACAGTAGCGAACATGCCGCTTTAACTTCAGACTTATATGTATACTAATTTAATCCAACATTGTGGCCTCACACAATTAAACCATTGTTTGCCGAAATTTATAGAATTTCATTTGAGTCATTCTGTCCTAGGTTGACGTAGGTTTTCACACTTGTTCTGGTTGATACGTGTGGTCCCAGAGCAGATCATCAACTATCTCAATCTTTACAGTATCAATTTGAAAAAGTCTCATATCCGATACCCTATATTATTGTAATTTTAACGCATTGTTTATCACAAGAAACAATTCTCAGAACTTATTTCTCATGGTAAAAAAACTAAAAACTGAAACGTAACTCTATCAGTTGTTGAATCTTATCAGACGCTTGTCGGCCATCTTGAAACACATTTGTTAATGACCTATATATCAATTTACTAGTAACATGCAAGTAGACAATTTGTTGTTTTTCAAATCAATAAATTTTCACTTGGTCTCTACTTTAATAAAAGAGACTCAGAATAATCATTCCCAGGAACACTGAGATCATGGCATATTTATATGACAATAATAGGAACTTTTGAAAAAATATTTTCTTTTGATTGCGTTTAAATGCTCAATTTGGAAAAGGTAGCGGTTACACAAAGATAGAAGTTGTTCACATGTGTATATAAATAAAGTGCGAGTCTGTTGCTTGTAGCGCCAGTCAGAAAGGCAAAGACTGTGTGCAGCCACTTGAAGACAGGTTCCTGTTTATAACTAGTGAAAATGAACCAAATTGTCTTGTCATAACTATAGCATTGATGATAGATGTGTGTGGCCAAAGTGAACATCAACAGGCTGACATTTAACATGGATAAATACTAGCCACTTCAACATGTAGCCACTAAATTAAAACCAACTAAATAAGATCTGCTGACAGGTTACCCAAATCTGCGCAAGATTTATTCTCTGAAGTGACAATTCAAGAGGTTGTTTCCTATTTTCAGATCTGGAAGGAAAATATGAATACAATAAAAACATTTAAAATAAAAAAGAGATATGCTGTGATATTATATTTTACAGGGCTGTGTATCATATAAACAAACTATTTGAATGTTGTCATATGTTATAATTTTGTAAGACATTCTTTATTTTAGATATTTAGCCTAAATGTACTTATCTTCGTGACATTAGGGGAAAAATGATCACAGCTGTTATACAAGTATAACTGTGTTACACTTTCAATGTGAATCGTTAAATTGTTTAAATTTGTATATTTTGTTTAACTATATTAGGATTTTATCGAAATAAATGCATTTATAAATTCATGTTTGTATGAACTACGGTTTAACTGCTTCCTATCAAATGATGTTTAACTTTTGGATATTGAGCGCAATCATTCTAAAATAATCTCTATACACTTGAGTGTATTTTATCTTATATATAAGCGTCAAAATAAACAATTGCTATTATGCACTAAGAACTGTTATTGATAATTTTTGAGAAATAGATATAAACAAATATCATAATTTTAAATGCTGATAAAAACTTGAACTACGTTTTTCCATCATATAACAATACTGTTTTAACAAGTGCAATGGTTGTATAAAGTCCACTGTATATTGTTTACACCGACGCACTGACTATGAAATGTTCCGAGACTATAACTATGTAAAAGTTCTAAGATCAGCTATTCTAGAAAATGTTATTGTGTAAAATGATAAGTTATTATTCAACTTGTATGTAACTAACACTAGAGGTGTTGAGCAATTTGTATCAAGTTGACCATGTTTATCACGGTCTTTTTGGACTTACCACTGCCCATTATCTTGGACCATTGTCTGTGAATGTAGCTTATGGATTTTAAAGAATTCATAGAGACGCAGACATTGTGGAACAAATATGCTTGAATAGTCGGTCAATTGTTTCTGTGTTTAACGTGACCAAGTCTGTGTATCAGCCTTAAATTTGGGCAGCCATAGTTTGTTCTTCTTTTCAGAGAAATTTGATCGGATCCCAGTACCCGGATGAACATTCAATAGATGTTTATGTGTTAAACATCGAACTATTCAACAAAATAAACGGTTAGCAATATAAAGTTGATACATGCGAGAGTGAGTCAATAAAAACTGGCTCCAGATAATATACGTCACGATTAAGGTAAAGTCTACTACGTGAAATATTAATTAATACCCCTACTCCATTCAATGGTAAAAATTAAGCTGAAAATAACTTTATATATTCTGATTTTTGCCGGATTCTTTACGTGAGGATCAAAGTGCCGCAAAAACTGTTATTTTGCAAACGGCGATAAAACGGTAACAAATACTAGGCGACCGATCTGTCATTCACTAGGGGTCCTAGTATCACTCCGCCAGCCAATCAGAATCGTCGATCTGTTAAACAGATACATCTTTCTAGTGCTCGACCAATTAGCGCCGCCAATAATCTTTAAGTGAAACTGGCCTCTGCTCTTGGGTCGATACATAAGTATCTACAACTATTTGGCAGAATTGGAAGCAATCTGGTCCCTCATAGAAGAGACGATACGCCTGATTTCATCTAAGTAGAAAAGGAATCTTAACAACCATCACGCTGGATCTAGAAATGAGCGTAGCAAATAACGGGGCGATGTACCCCATGACGGAAAAGGGTGCGAGAAAACCAAAATGTGCCAGATGTCGTAATCATGGCATGGTATCATGGCTAAAAGGACATAAACGCCATTGTGGATTCCGCGATTGTACCTGTGCAAAATGCAATCTTATTGCCGAACGCCAGCGAGTTATGGCGGCTCAAGTCGCACTGAAACGTCAGCAAGCCGCAGAAGACGCCATCGCGCTTGGTCTACGAGCATGTTCAGGGTCGGAGAACATTTCGCGGGTACCAATGATGACGCCTGGACCATTATGGGGCCCGGGGACAATCAGCCCTCCTGAAAAGCAAGGCTTGAGTAGAGAAAGAGAAGAAGGTATATTTCTATTTCTACATTTGTGTTGTTTGACTCGGATGTTGCCTTTTGTTCCTCTTTTCAGGGCCCAGTTTTAACTTTCAATAGTAGTATGCTTTTAAAGCTTATTTGAAATGGTAATTCTAAGAATTCATGGAAGCAATGATACGATTTAGAATTAATCTCGGTCCTTTCTCCGAACTTTTATTTGTGGATTTTTTACACCAATGCACGGTGGTATAGGCTTACTATAATATTGTTAATTACAATCAATTATTCTTACAATCCAATCTTTGTTTGAGTTGCTATTTGCCCTTTCTTTTTGTGCAAGAATTTACAATTTGTGTCCCTAATGTCAAGATTTTCTTTTATCCATTTTTCTAAATTGTTATTAATACTAAGATTTGGCATTATGATAAGATATATACCGATAAAACTGCAGACCACACTGATTCATTGTATGCAAAAAGGATGGTAATCTTCAAATACATTTAGGTTGCGGTGATAAGAGATAAAAGAAAGTAAAACCTAAAACATATTTTTATATTTTGAAGAGGTATTATTCGTCATATGAAGTGTTGTCCCTTTGGACAGCTCTCTTGTAGAACATGTTTCTTTTATTCTTTGATCTAAGACCTCTATATTCCCCCCAGTAGGTTACTACATAGGTCTGTTGCTAGATGTATTTACCTTTGTTTTAAAGATTAATCCTTAGTACATTTGAAAGGATTACCTGTGAGAAGTTTTGCTAACAAAATGTTCTGACATATTTACACAATGTATTTTCTATTTTGTTTTAGAGTGCTACTTTATTTGTGACATTTTGAATGATCTTCTACTGTTGTCTGTTATCAAGTATTACATAGGTTGTCCATAATCTTTGCGGTTTTGATCAAATTCTTTCATAAACATAAATAATAGAATGATATAGTTAATCCGTTTATATGCATAAATATACATACTTTGAACCGGTGTAAGGAATATTTTCATCCTTATGATATTTTAGTGGCTTAGATGCATTTAATTATACAAATGCGAATGCAATTAACATGTTATTAGGATAAATATTTTCCCAGACGACAATATGAGCTTAGGATGCTGTCTAACGTGATGCAACTTGATTCACCATTCAGTAACATATTTGTCAGCGAAACAAAACAATTTGCTATTAAACGATGATTTAAATGTTTTATCTTTCAATATTTTCAAAAATAAACGAGAAGCGTCCATCCATTAGCATAATCTTTTAGTATAACTCACTTTGAATAATACATAATCAGAGGTTTGGTTTAGAAAATATTTCTGCAAAAACGTATTATATGTAAGATTAAAATAAGTTCATGTACCACAATGAAAAATGTGTACTTAAAGATACAACTAGAATAGGAACATCTTGATTACAACCGGTCATAAGGAATCAAACACACCGCATCCTAAACAATGCCCCTTCCCCCACCATCTGAAACCATATATACAATCCAAAAACACGCAGCCATGGGACATTTCATTCATACTATAACCATTACAAAACATTTAAAAACAATGAAAGGGAAGGCTTATGATAAACGATCATACAATAACAATTTAAAATATTACTTTTGGTCTTACTTTTAAAGTTTGGAAGCATGCAACAATGATGTATGTTGAAGGTGAATTTAGAAAGTATTTCCAGATATTTGCCTCCGTGTTTCTAACTTGACCATATGGTACCTACAGATCCCAGACTTGATCTCACTCAGATAACTTGTAACCAATTATACAAATCTTGTGCTAATTACCTCTAATTAATTACATGTATATGTGAGAATTCCAAACCCTCTTGTTGTGTCTGTAATACACTCATGTTTGTGTCATTCGACTTGAATTTCGCATTTATATTTAACATGTGCTGTGAATAATAAATGCGCTCGTGAATTTTTCTTCCCATCTTCTATGCATAGGTTTGATAATTTCATATTTTTGTAATAGCCTCTTTCAAATGTCAAAATTGCCTTAATAGCGCCAATGTAGATCATAAAAGATAGGTTTGTGAAAATATGGAAGACAAAGACATGACGCAAGGGGATCAGACCGACCTGATGTAAGGATTACCTTATGATGTGCATTTGAATCTCGTTCTTGAAATTAACAAACTATTTATCACTTCTGTAATCGTGCCTTCAATTTTGTGCGTTTTAAAAAATGCAACTTGCACTGAAAATGATCTTCGTATAATTAACCACAATCTGAAATTCCTGACATGATATTTGAAGCAACATTCTTATGTTGGAAAACAGGTTTGTTTTTATGGTAAAATTGTTTCCATGTATTTAGCTGAAGATTGACACAGAGGGAAATCACAGGGATAACTGACACATTGAAATCTGAACCCATATCAGTTGCTATCTAGGCCTCTCTCTTGGTAATTTTATTTTGGAAGAAGAAATGAAAATATTATGATTTGCCATCGGCCTTACCGACTTTGCGCCTCCCACGATGGTGACAGTTGCAGTGTACATGTCGCACCCTGACGTACTATTATAATGAAATCATTTCACACAACACGCGCTTCTTATCCATCCAAAACAAAATAGATTTTAAATTCAAATTTATATAAAAAGTCAAAATAATTTGATTAGGAAATAAACATTTTGAAATAAATAATATATTTGAATAAATTTATATACATATTTAAATAAATTTACCTTTTCAATTACACAAGATATATACCTAACAAAGTAGACATTATTAATGTATTTGTTATATCCAAATTTGATTCATTTCAGGAAATATTTTGTGAATTTAATTTGATTTTATCGGAGTTTTTAGAACTGAAAGCTTTATTTACTAGATGAATGATGCCTGATTTTTAATAAACATAATAAAATGTTTTCAATTTATTTTTAGTATATTATAATTTCCATTTAATTCAGATCATCTATACTTCTATAGAATATCTATAGAATAATGATGAACTGCTGAAACTAGTGGTTTAAAAAGTTTTACATCGTGCTTTAGACAGCATACTTCATTGTCAAATGGACATTTCGTCCACTATTATTCATATTAAATCTTTATGATTGATGGTATTTTGATACGAAAGTAAGATTTTATTATCACGAGTACTTATTTCAAAACATTTGGTCAGCCGATGTTGACTATATGGCACTCGAAGAGTTATTTCATAGCGATATTTAAAGAGAGAATCAGATCTAGCGAGGAAAATAAACAAAAAATATTAGAATAGTTTTGGCCCATGCCATTTCTTGTCATGTCTATTTTCTAAAAAATCGCCAAAGTACATACTTTATTCCAGGAAAACTAAAGATTTTTACGGTTTTTTATTATTTGGAAGAATTTGAACACATTCCCCTCATTTTTGCATTTCAAATCGTTAATAACATCACTAATTTATAACATCTTTTGAGAAATATTGTATTCGAGATCATAAGGGAATATTGGTAGTCCAATTGAACACCAATTTGCCACCCCTATAGCTCTAATTTTGACTTTAATCAATCAAACATCATTTATGAAATCGTTTCTATCTCTGTGGACAAAAATAAATGTAAGATTAGACGCACTAGGTCACGCTAAATACATTTCTATTGGGATGAAGGATGAATTTCAATAAATAATTGATTCATGTTAATTGCGTTTGTCTTTGCCAAAATTTTCTTTTTTAGTTGTCCCTGTTAAATTATTTATCTGCTTTTCCAAACGCCCTCTCGTATTATATCACTTTATTGTAACAATCTGCAATTTAGAACCTTTAACTTGTCTAATAATACCACACAATCAAACTGGTTGATCTGGCATTGCATTTCTAACAACTTTGATAAGTCCAGGAAGATATTTCATTTTAGAGAGGCCAGACTGATGTGTGAATATCTTAGATACCTCACTGACTCCATTTACAAACACCTAGGTTGATTCCCGGGTTGATTTCTTAAATATTATATATCCATTCATTGGTAATCCCCTTACTAGACTGCTCTATTCAACAAAAGTCAAATTCTAAGCTTAAAAGAGAGTGTGGTTAGGGCTTGTTGAATATAATTCAAACTCCCCCTCTCACTAATCTGAACAATGGTATAAACATTTCCTCTGTGGATTAGGGGTGTGAGACCGCTAAAAACTAAAGCATTCAACTTTCTTAGATAAAAGATACCGATCTTGTCAACTTTTCAGCTTTAATGTTAAACAGTGTTTTTATTTTTTGATTGATGTAGTGTCGTCTTGTAGTCATTTCGGTTAGTATATCATTGGTATTTTATTACTGTCAACGTAGCTGATAAGTAAATTGATTAAGTTGCAAAGCGATTAGTCCAAAGTGAAATATTATTTTCACAATTATGAAATTATACTTCCTGGACTAGATTGATATGTCAAATGAGTCTGTTTGCTGGTCATGTTTATGCATCACAATGACTTTTACGTCGCCTAAATTATTCATGCTTGCAAAACAATCGAGAAAATAGTTCCTAATTATCCTGCCGCCATCGTGGAGAATGATGGATCATGTTTGGATACCAATCCTTTTAAGGGTCCTCTCATGTGATCGGGAATATTGTGTGTCTATTATTCATTATTTCATTTTTTGTGACATTCTGTATCTTGTTAAAACGCAACAAGATTTAGAGTTGTAGTTTCCAACTGTGCGTATTGTCAGTATCACAATAATATTCAGTCTTGGCAGTAGTAAGATTAATGGACTCAAATATTTATTGTGTTAAGTTTTCTAAAACGATGTTAAGATATGTGTTTGTCTTTATTGAATTGATACTTTATTTAACTCTTAAAAATGCAACCATCAATCAAAATAAATTAAAGTTTGATCAAAAAATAAATATTTTGTTGTGGACTTAAGACAAGATTGCAAATTCAATTATTCTAACAATAAAGTGCAAATACTCCTCGATCATACATATCTATTATTTACAATTTGAATCAGACTTTATTTAACTTTAAACTAAAATTAGTTCAAGGGTCATTTTTAAAAATCTAATTTAGACTTGGGTGGGCAAGCAGACATGTTCGTTAACATTGTATCTCACTTCACTTTGACAACCCTACGAATACTATTTCCTTAACTGCCATTTGCTAAAACAAAGCAAAGACAAATATTTGTCACAAAATATTAATTCAAACATGTTTCTCTGTTATATTGATGTATCGTTTTTGTTTTAAGTATTTTCAAACAGTTTTTATGCCAAATGTTGAAGTTGTCGATAGTGGCATGTTCTTGTCGGGATTTAAAACGCTAGGAGACAAACTTTACATAGTTATGTATATTAAAACTCATATAACAATCCAGGGTTATCTTGTATGTATGGTAGCATTTTGAATTATTTTGTGTGGTGTTATTATATTTTCTTCAGACTTCGTTCGAAGATAATGTTCATTTAGTTTGTCAGCTATTTCATCATTTCTGATTCTGAATGTTTGCTGTGTGAGTTAGTTTCTTTTGAAATCAGTATTAATATGAGCAACACTGAAAAAACAATTAATTTGATTGCATAAGACTTGCACAATACTTGAACTGTAGAATACAAACAGATAAAAGTACTATATTCGCTGTTTCGGGGCTATTAGAGTTTCAATTCGTCAAATGATATGAGATCAGAGCATGTTTCTAGCGAAATCATGTCGCCTTTTAGATTTACTCTAGCAACCTCTCCCCTATCAGTTTCTATGCTGTGCGGCTTAGCACACACAGACTGAAAGCCCGAGGCCCATGAGTTGTTTTTAAATACGCCAACCAGCATTGTAGAGGGACTAAGGCACAATAGGACCGGCTAGAATTACATGGGTTTAGAGTAAATAAATATAAAAAACAAGCAATTTCTTTGTTGTAGCTCTTATTGTACATAGTTGAAGGATACATTTCAAAGGTACCGATATCTTGAATTAGAATAGGCAAATATGAAACTTAAATTTCAGAACGAAATGATATTGAGAATAGAGACAGTCAATTCTTGATTAGTTTAGAAATTTCAATCCCGTTTACTTAACAATTTTGTCTGTACAGTCTTTTTGTAAATTAGTCCGTTTATTTGATATCTTTTCAAGCATTGATAAATGTATTTTTGATATTATCAATATTATTAAACAATTAAATGTACAACACTTCAGAATAAAATAAATATAAAATCATTTAATATGTTGCCACATCTCATGGTTACAAAGGTTGGACTAATTAATTCGAAAAGCACTTTTCGATATGATAATATCAGATTTTCTCATAATTCGTATATTCTTTGTGGTTTTTGAATTAAATTATCTTATACTATGAAGAGTTCTGTATACATTTAATCAATTCATTTATGATTCAAGTTCAGACTGTCCACATTGAGATATTTTTGTTTATTCAAAAGGTGAGAGCAATATACTTAGAGATTGTTTATCTGTTATTGCAGGTCGTAGTCACATGTCTGATCCAGAATGTACAGAGATAGATGTTGATAGCGATAGTGATGGAGAAGCAGACCAACCAAGCCCTATTAACAGCCCACGCCTACAAAAGTCTCCCCCAAGCCCCGAACAACGCAGTCCCACAGAACCGCCCACTGGTTATAGACCAGGCAGATTAACAAAAATAGAAATTCTAGAACGCATATTCCCATTTCAAAAAAGGACAGTGCTTGATTTGGTGCTACAAGGGTGCAATGGTGACTTGGTGAAGGCTATTGAACATTTCCTCTCCGCACAGGACACGATGGTTGCCCAGCAACAAATGGCCATGCATTCACGGTCTAGTGACGTCAGTTCTTATCATCCATACATGACCGCCTTTTCTCCATTTAGGACAAGCACTTCAGCCGCAAACACTAAAATTCCATTTGGGGGAATCAAGTCTGCATTCACTCCACTCTCCCCTAATTCACACCCGCCTGGATACCCGGCATCTGCCTTACACTCGGCTTTTACTCCTCGGTCCGCAGCGTTTACAACAGAAGCACTGTTAGCGAGAACGCCTGCGCACCAACAGATAACAAGAACAGGGGATTTGATGTTACCAACACCGCCTCAGTTCCCCTACCCTGGAATAACCAACCTGCCGTCCAGCCTGCCTGGTGGTCTCCCCCCGCATTTGTTCCTTCACCCGTATAGGCCATTTACTTTGGAGCACCCAGCTCAAAAGAGTCCAAGCAAAAACAGTGACAGATCGGGTGATTCTGAAGATGGGTGGGAAGATTCGGGTAGTAATAGGGGCTCTAACAAAGACGCTGAATAGACAGTCGACTAGCTTAGGGACTAGTTAGGGTTACGGAATCTCCAAGTGCTATCAGAATAAGCAGCTTTGTGGTGGACATTGTCAACTCTCCCGCCCTCATTTGAGGAAGATACAAATGCAGGTGTCCTATCATTTCTTGGTTATCTAATGCCGTGCTAAGCCTCAGATTGCAGAACATGTAACACATTGATTGACACTTGTCACTTATTGTGGGAAACTAAACATTTAGATGATATTATTCCAAGAAGTTTATAAATTTAATTTATTTTATGTAATGTGAATATTACAATTTTTGAACAAGAGACGCCAGTCCTGCTTACAAAATATAGTCGTTATTATTAACAGGGTAAAAGGTATATATTTATGTATATCAATATCATGTACAAACAAACTGTTGTTTATGGTTTTATTTTATTGGTATCATATTGTATTTTATAATTGTCCAGAATTGTATGTCACGTGATATATAGTATTAAGAAAACAGTATTTATTTATAACGATAGTACACTTATATCAGCTATTAAAATGAATTTATCAAGTTAATGCCACTTAAACTTATCTCCTAGCTTATATATCAAGTAATTGGATGACAAAGATTTGAAATACGTTAAACTATCTTCATATTTCGATATTTATGTGACACAGTGACAGAATTCTAGATTAACGGTGTGATTTCTGGTGTCCTAACGCCTGGCAGATGTGTAAACTTTTGTTACGTTATGTAATTCTGAGATTGCAAGAAAGGCTTAACTTATTAAAGCCGAATAGATAATTTGGTTCAATATCGGATTAAGAAAGATGAAATCTAAAAGTTCATATTTCATGAGAACTGATAGGATAATGTATCGGTTTCGATTCAAATGGAGATTCGCGCGAAGAAATCAGGCCACAATCTAGTATCTGAACACTATCTTTGTAGATACTTGGTATGACAGAATAATTTGTTAACTTCGGAAAATTGAGACACAAATCTGTAATAGTCCATATTTTGTATTTTTGAAATGGTCTTCGCTGCTTCGCTGCGCTCGACCCCAGTTGTGAATTCCATGAGTTGAAGCACGTAGTGATATGGGTAGTTATTTGTGATAATGCGCCCATATTTACACACTGAACTTAACATTACACCCGATAGAAAGTAGTGTGATGTTACAGTTTAGATAAAGATAGTTACATGCCGACAACAAAACAAAATTACATTTTTTAATATGTACACATTTTTTATCTCTCCACTTACAACTACTCCAATTCATTTACTTAAGCAGAGAACATTTTAAATACTTAAGATGTCTTTGATGTACCGGCAAAACGTTATCAAACAGAGAAAACGAAATGTAATGATATTAGCAACTTTCTGATAAGGCAATTTATAGTTTAAACACGAAGCACGTTATCAATATGAAACATTTCCTCAGACATGAAAAACCATCGAATATTTCAACTGTCAGTCTATATTCCGAGTAGGCAGATTTTGTAAGGTAACACCACAGTTTCCCTTCAGTATGAGTTTACTTTTAATTTGCGAAATGTTTACTTTCTCAGTACATAATCTAATTTTCTACAATGTAATAGAAAAGTAACAGAATAGAAGGGGTTGGCGCAGCGGGCCTGACTCGAAAAACTTTTTTCGGAAAGATATTTGGGTATTTTTTTCTTTTAACCACCCCACTTAGTACTCCTTACTTAGTTCACTAAATACTGTTGTTTATTTTTCAAATGTATTTACAATATCTTCTATTTATTTTTGCAATGTATTTTGTAAGTAAAAACGTGTACAAGTGATATTTGAGTAGCTACATGTGATTATAACTCCATCAAATGTCACTTCGTTTTGTTATTTCTGGTTTGCAATTTGGTTTTGGGATCAACTAACACCAGAAGTCCAACCTGTCAGGGACTTAGAAATCACTTCTGGACATTCTAAATATTTACTACAAGCACTTACATATAGCGGTGTGGCAAGCTCGGAATGTATCTCAAATTATCATAACCATACAAGATTGGCTTAATTTTGTGAATTTTTTTTATTTTACCCGTACATTTTTGTGATATCATGTAAAATGTAGAGAATGGTTTTGAGGTTGTAGTAAGATTAAACGTCGTATGTGTTATGGTTGTCATTACGTGAAATGTGTGTATAAATTAATTATGTATATTAGAATTGTAATGACAGAAATAAAAACTATTGAATATAATATGTAAATGAATGAATGTTTTTTCTTAATTTGAATTTTCTGTAGAATCAAAAAATGGTTGGAATACATGAACCATTTTAGAACTTGAAGATATTTTAGCCGTTAAATGTTTCAACTAACACTGCGTCTCATCATTCCTTTTATCAATTTCATGAATTCTTGTATGGTCTTCATAATACATAATATAAATGACTTTCGAAACGACAATGCAAATCTAAGAAAATGCACTCTGATCTCTTGTGAACTGAAACAAAGCACAAGAAATGTGAATCATAGGACCAATGAAAATTCAAATATTCAGAGAACACTAATTGATAAAATATTTACGTGGAATTATTGTTCTCAGAACAAGTGTTATTTTGTTTTCGAACTCTAACTTGTTCTCTAAATTTTCTTCTATAATATATATTTTTATTTCCTTGTTTGTTTCCATCATTTTTAGGCCTTTACATCAAACTAAAACCATAACATCGGTCGTTAAATATGCCTTATACTAATGCCCACATCTCCGCTGTCCGAATTTGGGAACGTACCTCTGTGTCCCATAAATTCGCTGAAATTATGAAATTTACAAACAGAAGTTATAAAAGTTTCTTGTTTGAACTTTTCATAACAGCCACGATTATGTCTATGTTCCAATTTTCATAATGCATATACTACAAATACATTCTGCAAAGGACCCCATCTTCATTTCTTCGCTTCTATCACTGCAATCAGAGTGGTGTAGCAATTAATCACCAGTATTGTCTCATAGTGTAACTTAGGCCCATGGCCATGTCCAATTTGTTTTGATATTTTCATTGTAAAGGATTTAAATTTACTTCAAAACTAAATGTGATTACATTGCTCATTTGGTTTGATAGTTTGCGGTTTAATATTCTAAAGACCAACATTCTAAAGGCTAGAAGAGGTAAGACGTTCACACAACAATGGTAACTATTGTAAGTTAAAGGTTTGAGAAGGGATCATGTATCAATGGCGGTCTGCGCTGTATGTTGGTCCTAAAAGACTTGTAGACATAACAATTGAATTTGTGTTCTCATCTTTAAGCCCCTCTCTATTCTCAATTCAGCTAATCCACGTTGCCAGTTCCTGCACATGACACCTTTTGTTGGATGTTGACTAAATTCATGTTTGAAAATATCAATCTTCATAACTTATAAATATAAGAAAAGAGTAGTATGCTGTCAAACGTTGGCGGGCCACTTGAAATAGAGAACTGCCTTCATAATGGCATGTTATGAAAACGATATCCTTATCAAATATATAGAGGTTATACCTAGGGATGGAATGTATATTGGTTTTTTCGAGAAGGATGATATATAGAGGATATCCTATGATTTATGAGTGATATGATTTTTATCCACGAATGGATATGATATCTGCACGAGCGAGCGTAGCGAGAGAGTGCAGATATCAATAACCATGAGTGGATTAAAATCATATCACGAGTGAATCATAGGATGTTCTTTTTATTCCATAGTTAAAGTCATCATCAGAATCGTCGGAAACTAAGTCATTTAATTCGAATTTTCCAAACGATCCGGCGATGTTGACACTTAGCCTCGTTTTGAGTCTGAAGTAGCAAAAATCCATAAACCATCGCATACGACGTCGTATGTCATGGCTAAAAAACCGTATGCTATGGTTAAGTGAAAATTTGTCAAAAATATCATATTTTACCACTGATTACAAAAATACCGTTTTTATTTTCACATGTTATCCTATGAATATCATGCTAACTATGGAATAATATGATATATTTCCGAGGGACCAATGATAGTCCATAAACAAATGACAAAATTACAAAAGATGAAACACTGTGAAATTTCATAAAATCCCGGCAGAGGAGTTTACGGGATGTATATGGCAAAAAAACTCATCATCATCTTATCAACGTATCATGGTATAAATAGTGTTGATGGCGTTTTATTTGAGACAAAGATGTAAGTGTCCGTATTGTAGTCTATGTCCTCTCCAGCTTTGAATGTAAGAGCGCAAGGACAAACAAGCACACAAGACAACAATTCAAAAATGAAAAAGAACCCCATATCAATCACATAATGAAGTCTTTGAAGTCAATGATCACCTATGCTTGTATGGACGATTTATAGAAAGCCATTTGATAATCATGGCTACTTTTAACAAATACCTTTATGACCAGCATAAATTGAATAAATGTCATAATAATGAGCAACTACATGTAATCTATTGATTTAACTAACCATAACAAATTATTGACGATTTTTGTTTACCCTAACAATTGACTAAACGCATGTAGGAACAAATAAACAAACAATTATGGCAAAGCCTAATTAATTCTGATCGCGAATAGAAAGTATTGAATGGTAATGGATACAAGTCAAAATAATTTCAAAAATTAAAATTTGAATATTGTGAAGTTAAAGTTTAACTGGAATCCAGTGAAAAGAAACAATTTCGGATGTAGACGTATTATGTTTGACTTTGCCTATATATATATATACAGATAATTTGTTGAAACTGCATAACAATAAAATTAAAGGTAAACAACCACGTCATTGCTTTAATTTATGTAAGTTGTTTTAATAAAGAAATCGTCTATGAACATGTATGTTTATTGAGAAATGTACATAAAAGCGAGGACTACCGTTCAAGCAGTAGAGATCTAAGTCAAAGTTGTCATTAAAATATGCTCATAAATTGGAACTTGAATTTGACTATAAGATTATAGTTGAAAAGAGACAGGTCCCGCAAACTGAAGTGGAGACACACGAAAGTATCAGACGCTGGCAAGTTTATTCAGCAAATGTCTTCGACTCAAATTGCATTTACCGAACGCTTGTGTGCATATAGGTAGTATAGGGAATGTTATCACTGTTGTTTGTTATCTCGAAACACATTGTGAAGTTCCGACAAACCTCCACTAATGCAATAGTAACAAGGAAATAATTAAACAGTTGAAACGATTCTTTTTCTGTAGACAATAGGTCATGTCCCAAACTAAACAAAGATTTAATTACATTTGAAAAGTAGCAGTTTATTGGTGTTTATCGTTTCACAAATCATCAACGAACAGCAGATGAACACAGTGACAGCATACCCTAAATTTTGTTTTCCTACATTTTTGCCCTGCTAGATATGTGTCAGTTTATTGGGGAAGTTATGTTTGAATGGTTAAGCAAATGCTTCTTCCAAAAATTGTAAT